TCCCCCCTCTTTCCAAAAAAGGCATTGAATTCATACAAATTAAACGGAGGTATTAACACCTTAAGGCTCAATACATTCTTTATTTAACAATTTCACTAGCACTAACTTATTACAAAATTATTAAACCAATGCATCTGACTGAGGCTTGTTTAGGCACAACGCTAATGTTACGTTACCATATGATAGTAATAGGGTCAAAAGAAACCTCAAGTTTAAAGACAATTTCTTCGACACCGTTACCCAGTTACCCTGGTCAACTTTATAAACAGACACGCCACGTCACGTGTGACCAATAAAGCATTTGAATACCTATTTCTTTGTAACGTCGGAGATTGAAATTGTGGATATCTCTCGGAAACGCGGTAAAAGTCACGAATTAACGGACAAATACCTAAATCACTGACAGGGCAAATATTGTTCAGATGTGTAAAACTTTTCCCAAAAAATTGAAAAATCCATTCGTATTTTCAAGTCCACTACTGGTCACGCATAACGGGGCAACGTTGTCCCAAGTGAGTGGGTTATTTCTATTAGAGCTTTGGTCAACAATACCCTAGTCTCCTTCGCAGGAGACTAACAATACCCTAGCGCTATGGTGACCCAAGGGCTCAGGTGGGGCTACCCCAGCACGGGGTAACCATATCTGCCTTGTAATCACGCAGTACTGATGAAAAACGAAGAAATGCACGAGCCCTGTAAGTTGCTATTGTAACCCTGGCACTAGGGTTGGCCTCCCTTCGTAGTAAAAAGACCCTAATATAAGGCAGTGTAAGCAACTTAAAATATGAGCAAAAAAGTGTCTAGAAAGTAGTTAGCATTTTTTTGTACGAACAGTTACTTTAAAGTCATTACATGATTGTCTAATCTGTCATACAATTAATACTAAATATCAGTTATTTTCTATTTATTAGACAAATAACATTATATAAAAACAGTAACAGAATATAGAATAAAGAGCACCTTTTATATTCCAGCTCCATCAAAATTACCCTATTTTAGTTGCTGTGTCACTAAATAACCAAATTAAATCAAAACAGTTCATTCCTAAGAAACCTTCTTACCAACGCCTTCTTTAAAAATTAAAAAGATCAAGTAAGTGCTTTTGTCGGTTGCCTTTGTCTTTTGTGTATAACTTACAGAACTCTTTTGTAAGATACTTGCACTACGCGTAAAAAGGCTTACAGAAGGCTTCTGTAAGGTTAGTATTCCCACACATATTACACACAATAGGTAAAATAAAAGCAGGAAACGCAAGATTCCATGCACTGATTCAGGTAAAACTTTGCTCAAAAATTGGAGAATCCATTCGAATTTTCAAATCTACCACTGGTCACACATAACGGAGCAAAGTTGCCCCAAGTGAGTGAGTACTTTCTACTAGAGCTCTGGTCAACAATACCCTGGCGCTATGGTGACCCAAAGGCTCAGATGGGGTTACCCTAGCACCAGCACAGGGTAACCCTATCTGCCTTGTAATCAGGCTGTATGAAAATTAACGAAGAAATGCACGGGGTGCGAGGGTAACCCTGTTCCTATTGCAACATAGCACTAGGGTTACCCTCCCTCGTCAGCAAAAATACCCTAATATAAGCAGCCAAAGCAACTTAAAATATGAAAAAAAAACTTTTTAGAACGTAGTTAACATTTCTTTTTTGTACAAACAGTTACTTAAAGTCATTACATGATTGTTTAATGATCTCTATCATACAATTGATACTAACTATCAGTTACTATTTCATCACATTAAGTACATATTATACATTGAAATCAAAATATGATAAAAGTCTTAAAGAACCCTCTAATTCCATGTTAACTGGTCAACAAAAGCTACCAAACGAATCTACCACTGAGCCGCGATCTATTCTATTTTGTCTTATTCACACAGCATTTAATTTAATCCTGCAAAAATTGCTTTTCTTAATCTTCAAACACTAATTTGACAGTTCTCCCTAAATTGTACCACATGTAAGAGTTTTTTAGGCCAACGTTTCTTTGACGTGATTAGGGCATCAGATTTGCGGGTATGAAGAAACTCAAACTCTAATCGGGAATTCGATGCAAAAACAGATAAAAGGTTTCTTTAGACGCATGCCCCCATTTGCGCTAAAGCTTAAATAAGTGTAAAAACTCCTACTATATTTATTTACTTTATAATAGTGTTTTCCAGCAAGAAATATTCAACAGATTTCTATGACTTCTGCTCTGGCTGGACATAATTCTCTCTTCAACGGAAATGGTCTCGCCAGCACTCGGCTAATGGTAAGCGCGTCAAGGTCCAATAGTAGTTTGTTGCTGGAGCCGCCCGAAGAGAAAATGCTTTCTTACCATACTTCGTGTGTGCACACCAGCTACTTTTAAACGCAATTTAAAGACCCCTTTTTCATCGATTATTTGATATTTCAATACGCTTCTATTAATCCTATTTTAAATCATATATTTTATATCACTGTAAAATAAAATTTTAGGTCAATTATTGCAAAGGGCTAGTGACCATTTTTAGGTAAATAGCGGCATAGTTATTGTTATTACACGTATTGATTATTTGCCAAAGAAAGTTCCAACCTGTTAGGTGAAAGGTGACTTCACTGTGATAATCATGATGCTGTTCGATGTTACCTGAATTTAAGGGAGCTCCCACACCGATTTTTTTCGTTGGTCACCGTAGCAACCGCAGTGTAAAAGCTACTAGCGACTTTAAGATTCGCTACGGCATAGCTCCACTACGGCTGTTGTAACCCGGGGAAGGGCTGTGGCGACTACGCGGTCTCCCGCCAAAACTCAAAATGGTTAAGTTACGCTCGGTACGGCAACGTCACAACCGACACAAAATGTACTGAAACCTGAAGCTCGGACGACAGGACTAGCTTTCTTCTCTTCAATGGTTTCGTTTAAAGAAATAACAGACCTTGCTGTGCTTTCTTATCGCATAAATTTTATAAATGATGCTGAATTTCTGTTATATAATTCGTATAGCTCAGAAAACCTTTATTTCCCATATCATTTGTATCCCGAGTTCGACCTTCAAAATTTCAACGAAGATGAATGTCTGCCAGAATTTCGTTTCAAGAAAGCTGACATCCCAAGGCTTCTACGGGCTTTACAAATCCCTGATGATATAAGATGCTACCAAGGAACGATTGCGACGGGATTGAACATTTAGTTTAAATCTGTCGGGATTGAACTAAATGTCACCTAACTTTAATACATTTAAATGAGCTTTCGCTCGCTCTAGCGCCGCCGGTAAACTATAAAAACTTTATTCTCAAAAAGCGAAACAAGTTGTTAAGAACATCCCTGGCAGATAAGCTAAAACATAAAAATATTGTTTTAAAAGGTACTCGTGAAATTAAGTCTTGACAATCACTTATTGAAATTAAAACTTGTATAAGCTTAAATAAGCTCTCTTACGAAGCTTTCTTGTCTGCAGCCAGATTATAAGGTACCCAAATCCTTTCAGTTTTCGCTTAAATAACGAAGCAATAATATCTAAGGAACATCTAAGTATGACTCAGTACTTAGTCTTTGAAGTAGGCTTCTCAGAAAAGCGAAACAAGCTTTAAAATGGCAAAGAAATGACAGTTAATACTCACGTAGTGAAGAGTACGGAAAAGAAGGCAATTTGACGTCGCAGAAAACGAGGCTACGGCGGGAAAGCCGTACTGCAACTCGCGTGGTGACGTCAACGGAAGTGATTTTAATCTTATGTAGCCGTAGTAGCTCCTTGCCGTAGCGAATCTTAAAGTCCCTATTGTTGAAAGCCATGTCTTTTACCCCAAAATCTGATCAGACAATTTCTGAGGAAATTTTAATTCCTCACAAAAGTTTGTTTGAAAAGGTAAAAGTAACAAAAAATGGATTGCCAAAGCGTTTTAAAAGTTTGCCTTACGTACCGCAACTAGCAAAACAAAAGATGTCATAACTGAGCCTCCTCAAGTTCCGATCTTAATATATTAGCTTGAACAGCGTGTTGTTTGGTGTTGTTTGAGTCAAGTAAATGAGTATGAATAAACTTCAAACTTTTTCAGAATTGCTGTTATACTTATACGAATACGATATTAAGACCGTTTTCTAGATCATTCATAACACAAGTATAAGAGTCTGAAGACAAGGTGTAACTGCATCTTACAAATACTCCAGTTAACTCAAGAGCATTATAGGGCTCGTACCAAGACATTTATCTTGAAAACTGCGTTGACTTGAATCCTTTTAATGGCACACGTCGAGCTTCAATCGGTTCTTTATTTCGCGGATAAAAAATAAACGTTGCAATGAGGTTTGAGACAATATATAACGTTAAATTAAATGTACCTCTTTTCACTGCTGGAAAAGCCAGTAAGAATACTGCATGATAAAATCATTAAAATAAGTAAAATTACAAGCGCGCATTTTATGAACCCAAATCTATCGGGGGTAGTAGATGACTCTGAGTGTTTTTTCCCAGAGATTTCTCGCCTAAGCTGTTCTCCCTGAAGTGAAAGAAGAAGTGAAGCGTGGAGTCCCAATGATTCTTCTGTGAACCCAGAGTCATTGCAACTGAAAGTTTTGTCTGGATTGTCATGCATAAGCCTTGTATGTCTCTTTCTGAGTAGCGGCTGGAGTAAAGTGAAAACTGTAGCACGTCCTTGTACTGATTCTTCTATTTGAGTTGTTTCAAGATTATGCTTGCATTTAGCTGTGTATGGATGGTTATCCCCAAGTGTTTCTTTTGTTATTTTAAGTGCTTGCTGTAATGACTGAATGGCTGAAGTATAGTCTCTCACTTCTCTTTGTGCTAACCCAATGTTATTGTAGCAACCAGCTGTGTCTGGGTGGTTATCCCCACGTAGTTCACGGAATATTTTGAGTGCTTGCTTGTGTGACTGAAGGGCTAAAGTATAGTTTCCCATACGCTGATGTATAACTCCAATGTTGTCATGGCTGACAGCTATGTCTATGTGCTTCTCCCCATGTGTTCGACGTCTTATTTCAAGAGCTCGCTTGTGGAACAGGAGGGCTAAAGTTTAGTCTCCCAAGGTGTTCCCAACGTCTCCATAGCGGTCTGCTGTATTTGGGTGGTTGTCTCCAAGTTTTTCACGGCGTATTTTGAGTGCTTGCTGAAATGACTGAAGCGCTGAATCATAGTTTTCCAGATTCTGATGTGCAGTTCCAATGCCTCTATAGCTGTTAGCAGTGTCTAGGTGGTTCTCCCCAAGTGTTTTACGTCTTATTTCAAGTGATCGCTTGTATGATTGAAGGGCTGAAGTATAGTGTCCCAATTCTTTTTGTGTCATTCCAATGTTAGCATAGCTGTCAGCTGTGTGAGGATGATTATCCACGAGTATTTTACGTCTTATTTCAAGAGCTCTCTGGTGTGATTTCAAAGCTTGAGTATAGTCTATCATTTCAAGGTGCACTTTTCCTTTTGAAAAGAAGCTGGAGGCTGTATCTCTGTGGTTCTCACCTAGTAGCGTCACTCTAAAATTCAGGGCTCGCTGGTGTGCATGAAGGGCTGCATCAAATTTACCTCTACTCAACTCTTCCTCACCAACGTCAAAGTAACAGTTGGCTTTTTTTATTAGTTGGCCCTCAAATCTACCAAGTAGCTCCTTTAGTGAATTATTCTGTGACCGAACACTTGAAGAATGATCATGAATAATCGTCGATACACGCTTGTACAACTGAAGAGATAACTGGTAATCTTGCAATAGTAATTCCTTCACTTTCTTTTCATGGGGTAAGTCAGCTACCTCCTCATCTTCTTTTGCACTGTAATTTTCAGGGAGTTATAATAACTCCTCTAGTTGGGCTAATTTAACTCCTTACAGTGGAGTTATTTTTCGTGGAGTTATTTTAACTCCAAAAAGGAGTTTAAAGAACTCTTTTTCAGGAGTAAAAGTGACCCCAGATATTGAGGAGTTAAAATAACCCCAAAAAAGGAGTTATCCTGTACCTAAAATTTTTACTCCACTTTCAGAGTTAAATTAACTCCAAAAAGAGTAAAAACAACCCATGTAAGGAGTACAAGTAACCCCATTTCGGAGTAATTTTAACTCCAGACTGGGAGTAAAAAGAACTCTTTTTCAGGAGTAAAAATGACCCCAAATTCGGAGTTAAATTAGGAGTTAAAATAACCCCAAAAATGGGGTTATCCTGTACCTAAAATTTTTACTCCATTTTTGGAGTTATAATAACTCCCTAAAAATTACGGTGTGCCACTATCTGAGTCCTTATCGTCAGAGCATTCTCAAGTGAACTGAACGCTGAACCGAACTGACCAACATTAATTAAGGCGCAGCCTGTCTCGAGGTAACTTTCAGCTAATGAGCTGTGCATACAACCCAACCATTTCTGCCTTATTTCTAGTGCCTGTTGGTGTAATGTTAGGGCTTCAATGTGGCGTTTCAACTCAGAAAGCATCAGCCCAAGCTGGAAATAACTTTCGGCCGTTCTATGGTGCTTCTTGCCAAAGTATTTCTCCCTGATATCTGCTGCTCTTCGATGCAGCTGAAGTGACTCCTCATGTCTCCCTTGTTTCCACTCTACCAGACCCAGCTGAAAGAGACTGTCGGCTACTGATGCGTGTCCTTCACCCATTCGACTCTTGCGGATTCCAAGAGCAAGCTGATGCATTTCAAACGCTGATGTGAAGTCTTCCTTGTGAATAAACACCTTCCCTAATTCGTAATAAACTTCGGCTGCTTCAAGGTCTTGTTCTTGCTTTAGACCTTTTCTAATCGAAAGTGCTCGGCTAAGAGAATTGACAGCCTCGTCAAAGTTTTCCATCTGACATTGCACGCGTCCTAACTGATAGAAACTTTGAGCAACCTCTGAATGCTGCGAGTTGCCATGCATTGTCTGTCTCATGTTCAGTGCGCGAGTGTGATACTGAAGAGCGGAGGCATACCATCCCATTTCAAACTGCGTGACCCCAATTTCGCAGCAGCTGTTGGCAGTGTCAGTGTGCTGCTCACCTAATACTTCTAACCTCAAACGAAATGCGCGTAGGTGCGACTGAAGAGCTGCGCGGTTATCTTCTAGACAGAAATAAGTCTTGCCAATTTCGTGGTAGCTGTCTGCTGTTGCTTTGGGATGTTCTCCCATGACATGAAGTAAGATCCTTAGGGCGTTCTAACTCCTAACTCATGATAACTGTTGGCGGTGTCTCTGTGTTTTTCACCAAGATTCTTTGATCTTCTTGCAAGCGCACTATTATGTGACCGCAAAGCAGAGGAATAGTCTTTCATTTTGCACTGTGTAACCCCTAATTCATGGTAGCTAGCGGCCACGTTCAAAGGGTTTTGTTCATCGAAATTTAAACGAATCTCAAGAGCACGCTTTTGAAACTGTAAAGCTGAATCTCAATCTCCTATAGTCCTGGAGATGATCGCAAATTCATGGTAACTGTCGGCGACATCTGGATACTGTTCATCAAAAATTTCTCTTTTGATGTCCATTGCACGCCTTTGTGACCTGAGGCTTGAATTGTTATCTTGAACGCGGAATTGAAGAACAGCAAGGTAGGAGTAGCTTGTCGCCAATGCCTCTTTGTGGGTCTCCTTGCTGTCTTCAGCCATTGAAATGACCTTTTCCTGATGACATATTGCAGCCTGAATTGATTCAATTGCTTCTTCGTATCTGGTCATCTCTGCGAGCACACCAACAACAAACCGATGAATATACAGTGAACCCACTTTTAGATTCTCGACTGAGTTGCATTTTTCTTCCATTTGTTTCTTCATTTTGTTAACTTCGCGTTCAAATAATTCCATTGTTTTGGTAGAGGAGAAAATTTTGGTTGCCTTGGTTAAAAGAAAGTATATTTCCAACTCAAGTGGGCGATTTTCTTCATTAAGCATCCTCCGTTCGTCTTCTTTGATCTTAACGTTTTTGCCTGGTATATTGGGAATTAGAAAAAGGCCTTGTTGCTCTCTTGTTCCACATTCCTCTTTTGCAGTTTCGAAAAATGTCGCCGCCTTTTCAACACATTGTATTGATTCATAATATTGCTCAAGAATCTCCAAAGTGAGGATCCTCAAGATCTTCAGCTATGTTTTTAAAATGCACAAGAGAGTTTTCCAAATGTGTAACACCATCCATGATTTGTCCATTCGCGAGCTTGTGGATGCCAAGATAGCATAATAGTTTTCCTTTCTGCTCATCTGAATCGCAAGACAGAACTTCTTTTTTACTACATTGCAGCTGCTTTGTTTCCACTTCTTCTGTTCCCCAAGTTACTTCACTGAATGTTTTTGCGAGAACCAACTCATTGTATGCAGTTGAATCTGTACTCTGCTTTGCCTTAGTTATAGCCGTATAATAGATCTTGTTAAAAGAGGCTCGGTCGCTCCATAAAACAGCGTCCATAAACAGCATCCCCTGTGTCAAGCCGTCAAAACAACTGTCGCGTGTTGAAATGTTTGAACAACCTTTGATTAAACTTGACATGATATTTTGTTTGTCTTCGTAGAAATCTATGAAAGCTGACATAGACTGTCCAGAAAGAAAGCTATCGTTAAGCTCAGCGAAAACCGAAATATAGAATTGTATAAAACGCGTTGTCGACCTTACAATGACCTCTTTCATTTCTCGTTCTCCTTTTCGCCGTGCAAACAAGCGAAAAATATTATGAACTTTGTATGTTTTGGATACAACGCAGGAATCTATAAGCGACTTTCTCTGAAGACTTTGCAGCGTCCGTTGAGCATCATGCGTTGATATTCCCCACACAGCTGCGGCAACCTTCTCATGAAACAAGCCAGGAATCACGGACAATGATACGTAAAATTCTTTGTTTTCGGGAGAGAGTATCTGATATGATGATTCCAAGATGGCATTCAGTTTCTCCTCTTCTAGCTCGTCTTTATCATCCAATTTAGATAGATCACTTTCAATCAAACTGATAAAGTTGTCTATGGCTTGGCTTAAGGGCAACTCATTTTGGTGCACGTTGTTACAAAAGAGCCTAATAGCAAAAGGCATATCTCCGCAAAAAGCAGCGCGACTTTCCTCCAGTCTCTATTGCAACCTTCAGGAAAGCAATTCTGCACTAGTTTCTGAGAAAATACCTTGTGAACTGGTCCTATTCTTACCAACTTTTGCCCTAGCGGTTTTAGTTTTGTACACTCAGATGATTCTCTGGTAGCAACCAAGATTTTTACGCTGGCACAAGTCATCATAATTTGCTTAATTATTTGTGAAAAGCGGTGTCTTGATTTCCTTTCTTGCAATAAGCTGTCGGCGTTGTCTAGAGTAAAAAAAGGCGAAACAGAATCTTTAATTAAACTAAACTGTTTTAAAAGGAAATCGAGCGGCTGCAAGGGTCCCAGCGATTGATCGCTAAAAAAACGCAGAATTGCTGATATTAAGTCATCCTCTGTGTTGACGTCAGTAAGGTCAATATGGTAAATGGCCTTTCCCTCAGATTTGAGATTTTGACCCACTGCTATTGCAACCTCAGATTTTCCAGATCCTGGTGGGCCAAAGATGGAGACGACTCGAGTTAATGGAGACTTCAAGTGGCTTGCGATCTCTTCGATCTCTCTTTTGCGGCCAATAAAGTCACAAGCATTTGGTGGTAGACTAGGTTGACCGAGCAAAATGTGCGTTTCTTAAGAAGAAAATAAAATATTTCATTCAGTGCAGTGTATCTTTATCAAAATATATGGATCCTACTGCGAGAACTAAAAGAGAATAGGAAGACCAATGACTACCACTGAATCAATAATTGTGACTTAGAATATTTGAAATAAATCATATTGAATGACCCAATTCAACTTTTCTCCAAATAAACACTCTGGCTCGCCCATCCAGGCCAACTTAGTCAAGACAACCAAAGAATGCACTAGCCCCTTTGCCTATGGCAAAGGGGTCAAATTTTACACCCATAAAAACGCTCGCTAAAGTTTACTCGGCTGGGAGGGTGTCCCTTCAATCCGGTCGCGACGGGTTTTCACCATAACAACGGAGCTTTGGTGAAAATAGAAATAGTCTTCCATCATGTTTATATGTGCTGTGAAGTTGGGATAAAACATAAAAATCATGTTTACTAATCCCCTCCTCAGTTTGATCTGGAATTTTTTGTCAACCGCTACCCTTGTGAAGACGTCATATTGCAAAAGATCAGTTTTTACTCCCGGTCAAATCTTGTTCACATAATCGTCAATACTAAATCCCCTTAATTTGTACTTACAGGAGGATCGATGGCATATATACAAGGTAGCTACTTGGTTTCCATGGGGGGGACCTCAAAACTTCATTTGCCAAACGTTTAATTCTATAGAGTAGGTTGTCAATTTGGTGGATCCAAATAGGCAGAGACGGTTAACTTATTCAAGCTATTGCAAAATGTAGGCTTGGTCATTTTTGCTATTATTTTTTTGAAACGAAACAAGAGTGCTTTCAAGACCTTACGCGGCGTAAAATTTCTGCCGAAAAACTAACCCATAGCATGCTCGGCTAAAGAATGGTATTGATACTATTACCGAATCGTGTTCAATTCTAAGCTTCAAAAAGGGAAAGTGTACCTGAATTTGTACGCTTTAACAATTCTTCACTGTGTTTCCGTAACTCGTCCTCCAGGCTCTCTACTTTCCCGCTTGTGGCTTGGAATGACACTGCAAAGAAAATTGAAAAGGATATAAGCTAACGTCTGACGGAAGCTTATCTACCACTCCGCCTTTTGTCGCCACCGATTTACTGATCATGCTGGTTCTTGTACAGCTCTGTTTAAAATGTGTCGGACAACTGTTCACATGAATAAACACTTGAAAAGGCAACAAGAAATGTGCAAAATTTAATTGGTAATTATAACTTCCACTGATAGTAATTTTATTAGGCTTATCCGGCTAGACAAGGATATCCTACTTGAAATCTTTACCCTTATCTATGGTTACTTTTGCCAGGAGTCCATAGAACAGAACATGTAGAATAGGTGTATTCACAAACAAAACCAGTGGGTGAGAAAACTCTCTGTCACAGACTGAGGATAATCGGCGTACCTACAACCTCCAAAAAGACGGGCTAATGTGATTCGTGTTCATGGAGAGATCAAGAATCAAGTTTACAGCAAACGTTAGTTTCAAACTGACATTTTCACAAATGGTACTGAACATGAGTACATGAGAGCTGTTCAAAATACATCTTAGGACATCTGAAACTGCGATGGAACTACTTATTTTAATGAAAATGCGTTCACAAAAATAATAGTTGCCACAATCTTTGATGTATCCCATGAGTCAGTGCTCTCTTAAGTTACGTGTAAAATTTAGTCAAAAAAATTAAATATCAGGGGCGTAGGCAGGATTTTTCAAAGGGGAGGTCACAGCAGGGACACCATCCGGGGATCGCTGACTATATATGGTTTATACCGCTGCTCTCCCTCGTGTATCAGCGGGCTCAGTCGTATTAACGCGGCATGAAGGCCCATATTAACTAAGGACAAGAGCCGTTGACGAAAATACTTTACAAAAAAACAAATTTTAAAAAAGTGGGCTTTTCAACAATGTCTTTTACGGCCAAGATATCGTCATGGCGTTTTCGCCACCTGAATATTGTAGGTTGTTTGCTCAAAAGAAGGCCTACCAAGGGGGGGGGGGTCACGGACACTCCAGGACCCACCCCCCTAGCTACGCCCCTGAATATATATACCTCTCAGTTCAGATAGAGTTCCCTCAACTCTGCTAACTTTGTTTCCAATCAGTTCCACTCTCTGCTTTATGTCCTCCAAAGCAGTCCAGCACCTTTGAAGTTCATCCCCGACTTTCTTCCTTTCGTTCTCTAATTCTTCAGACATATTTTTTACAGCTTCTTTCAGTGATTCCACGTGTTGCTGAACCAGCTGAAGCAAATCCTGGTCCACAGGGGTGTTCATACAGAGGTAAAATCCTTTAAAACAAGGAAATAACACAAAATGATGGGAAAGGAAGTTCCTTTCAGAAAAATTATGGTCATCATCGATAGACTTAATCTCTTTAAAAGAGAAAAAGGTTGGGATGACAAACGAAAAATGGGAAAACTAGAAGAGCAAACAAAAGCACCTGAAAACCAAGCTTTTAATAGCGGGGCTCCCGCGCGCGCGAAGCGCGCGTGGGACAGAGCCCCATACTCATGGAATATGGTCAACCTCTTTTCGTTTGGTTGTCACGTGATTGACCGAGCGTACGTACGTACATACGTACGTACGCGTCTACAGATTGTACGGGTGGGGTAGGGGAGACTATCAAAAGGAAGGGAGGGGTGTCTCAGGCGTGTCTTGGCAAGTCCACATCTTTAATATAGGATTTTAGGACATTCACAATATGGTCAATTGACAGCTGTCAAAACAGGATAGCCACTGACCAGTATCCCATGACCATATCGCGGGCTCATGTGGCAACTCATCGAGGTGACGTGATTTATTTGGAAGCTGTCCGCTGACCAGTTAATTGTTTTACTAGATCGCGAACAATGTTCAATCTCATACTTTTACTAGTTAAACTGATAATGCACACACATTGGACATTAATGTTTTGATCAATTGACAGCTGTCAAAACAGGGTACCCGCTGACCAGTATCACTTGACCGTATCGCAGGCTCAGGTGTCGACCCATCGAGGTCAAGTATTTTTTTGAAGTTATCCGCTGACAAGTTACTAGTTTTCAAGTGATCGCAGGCTCAAGTTCAAGTTTTTTCTAAATTCATAAGAAATATGTTGTGTTTATGTGCTACACAGTTAAAATTTTGATTGCAAACTGACCTCGGACGCGAAAATTCAGCCAGCTGTTACAGGCAGGGAAGACAGTTGCTTTTGACTTTTCTCACCATGGTCACGCGTTGGTCACGCTCTACGTCCAATTTTTATGCTCTGATTGGTCAAAATTTGACAGGTGAGTTCATGCGGAAAATTTATGCAGCATCTTGAATCTTGTTTACTTTGACAGCTGAAGCTGACAGAGTTTTGTGTCAACTTGTGATGTTTTTAAGTGTCTTTTTCCACTGGATGTGCAAAATGAAATTCAGCTGCTATCAGGAGTCCTCTGTTATTCATGGCTAGTTTGTTTATTGGGTTTTTGGTTGAGGAATACGTCGCTTGTCAAAGTCGGAAATCCGATTTCGGATGGCATCGTTTTCGTTTTCACCTTGCTTGATGCGTAAGAGGATTGCAAAGTCTGAAGCGATACTGGCTTTTCTTGATACCTTTCAGGAGCTGCATCTCGAATGGTAAGCCAGAGAAATTATTGTATTTGATGTTTGTTTTTTTGGATCTAATTTAATGAAGTCGAGCGGAGTTTATGCGGTCATTTAGTTTATGCACGTTTGTAAGATTTGAGACAATGATCTGACCGAGTATCAGGTTTGATATAAGCTTACAGAACTTTAAAAAGCCTTTAGACAGTTTCTCACCGCAAATAGAAAGAAAACGTTCCAAAGAATATTTAGTTATAATTCTGGCCGGAAAAGAAAGCTTTGAGCGATTTTCTTGCCTCGAGTTCGTCTTTGAAAAAAGCAAACACCGGGAAGCCGGCTTAAAACATAAACTTAAGCTTGAAGCTTGAAGACTCAGGATTTTTAGGGATACTTTAATACTTGTCTTCCTGAATGAAAATTGTTGTTTCTGTATATGTTTCACCGAATTATATTTCTTTTATTGATTGTTAGTAGTCTCTCTTGTAATTTTAATCGCTGTGCCGATTGTTTTCAGTCGTTCAGTGAACATCGCTTGCAGGAGTACTCAAAATGCCGCGCGTTAATAAACCATTAAATAAAAAATAAACAGAATAAATTCTTTATAATGTTGGAGCGTAACTCTGTTAATGTTCATTCAAACACTCGCCACAGCTCGCACTACAAAAGTGAGAACCGGATGGCCGTATAGGTGATTTTGGAAATTTTTTTAACAGTTTATGAATATTGAATGAGTGCAATTTGTATTGTGAAATACTGCTTTCTGTCCGAGGTCTGCCGGTATGATAAAAACAGTGCCTCATACTACTGTTTCACC